CAATTTTTCGTACCTTTTTTAGAAGTTCTCTTTAAGTTTCACCACAGATAACATATTTCGTTGCAACCGTTTATTCATTGTTTATTTTTTAAATGCACTTTGAACTACTTTTTCGTCGTGTTTAATTTATTTTATTAAATAAACACGAGAAATTTTGTAAAATAAGAAGGTTAGTTTAAATAGAAAACAAGTGAATTTCACAAAATATTCAATGGATTTTTTGCCCTGGCTTTTTTACACCCAAGACCAGTTATTAAAAAAAGCAAAAATAAATTGTTAATTCAGTTCAATTTCCAAAAATTAACATTGTATACGTTTTCAGTATACTTTTCTCCTTATGTACATGGGTAATTTTCACGCAACTGTGCAATTTCAAGATCAGTTTTAAAAGAAAAAAAATTTTGTTTTTTTAATGTTAAATATGACTTTTCCTCATCATTAGGGCATAATATAGTTGTAATTTGAATGATTTTACTACAGCTATAATTATAAAAAAATTATAACAAATTTTCGAAAATTGGCTGCTACGGAGCTGACCACCCTATATATATGCATTGAATAATACTGCCGTCAACTGGGGCTACTTTATGTACGCGAGGTATTTAATATATAAAATTATTAAAAAGAACTTCTTTGTCAAAAAACCAAAAATAAGTTAATTAAAATCTTTAAAACGATTAAAACTTCAACCGGTGAGGAACATAACGGCAAAAAATTAACTTTAATTAATATTTATAAGTTTTTCAAATTAGTTTTAAAACTATTTCTCTCGTTTCTCTAATAACTTGAAAAGTGTATTAGATATTAAATTGTTATTCATTTAACTTTAAAATATTAATTTCAAGTTTTTGAAAAATATCATATTCAAAACGTTTAAAAAAGCTCCTATTGAAATGATGAGATTCAAAGTTATTTACATGTGTTTAAATGATAGTATTATAATGATTATAATGTATTATTGTAAAATGTATATTTAAAAAGAAAAAGTGTTATTTATTTTCTGAGTAATATAAAATTTGAAGAAAAGTTGTTAATTTTTAATAAATCATGATTTTAGCAAAATCTTAATGTTTTATTTTACATTTTGTTGTATAATATTTACAAAATTTTTGTTTAATATCTTATTCTTTTTTAATTTTCTTTTTTAACACAAAAGATTTAATGAATAAGAAAGGATCAAAAAAATGTTTACGTAACATTATAAAAACAGAAAGATCAATGCACAAAGTAGCCCCATTCCGGGGTCTATTTTGTGCACAACTTTTAATGACTACAACTCCGACAAAAAAATTTATTTCATTGACTAACTCATAGGAAACCTTCAGAAGGAAGTATAACATAAGCAAAAGTTGATTTTCTTTTAATTCTGAATTTGAATAAATCACTGAGCGTCACTGAGTTAAAAAAGCATTTTGATGCACAAAATAGCCCCAGCAAAAATATTTACTATTTACTATCAGCTTGACATAACCAGAAAATTTTATTTTTATAACATTAGGAAATTAGCGCATAAAACTAATTTCAGAAAAGTATTCACAAATAAAAGCGTTACGATCAACAGTAATACTGTGCTTCTGCATGGTTGACATAAAGACGGTTGACACTGAAATATAAAAGGACACAACTATGTCTGTCCTCTTCTATAATATGTGTTATTGTAGCAACTGTTGATCCATGAATTTGCACCTTCACACTGTACGCCACAGGCGCCACGGAGCTGATATTTTATGTGACACCACGGAGCTGAAATTTGACATTTAAACTAACCTAACTCCGACAATTCTGCAAAATAATTCTTTTCTTTGGGCAGATAATTTGTTTCTATTGTAATCTTCAAAAAAATCGTAATAATTACAACAGAGAGTGTTTAGATTAAAAGAATAGTAATACCACGGTACTGATCACTTTTTTTGTGACCTTCACATTTTCACAAAAAAATTGTTTTTGAGTGTAGAACTTCCAATTTTTGAACCTCTTTTTTACTGATATTTGTTGCTAATGGATCTTATTTTAGATTGTAATTCTCAGATAACATTAAAATGTGCCATAAACAGTTAAATTATAGGGAAAAAAATCTTATTACAAAATTGAAAAAATTTGTGGACAAAACTATTTTACATTTTATAATTTTATAAGAAGTATTAGAAAATGCATTATATGTACAAATTGTTCACCTATATACATAATTCATATTACAAAAATTCTCGTTTCCAGTTTCGGCGTTTTCAATAAAATTTCTGAATTTTAACTTAAAATTTTAAAAAACGGACACGCCACGGAGCTGAAATTTTTTAGGGAATTCCGCAATTTATTAAAAATTATAATATCTATTTGTACATATTTGTGGTTGCGAATAGGTTTTATATATACCTGTGAAATGTATCCATACCCAAGCAAAAATTTTTTATTTTGAATGTGTTTTCTGTGACGCCGCCAAATATTACAGTTACGTGCAAATCACCCACATACATTTACTTTTATTATTCGTTCACTTAATCAGATTGTAATATGTTTAAAAAGTTCACCAAAATGTTTTCAAAAAAGCAACAAAAAATTAAAATTACAATAAAAACAATACTAATCTAGGTACAACATTCAAATTAGATTCAAAAGTTGCGTATTACCTAATAGTATTTATATTCTAAACAGCTGATAAATCGGTTTAATAGTTTTTAAATAAAACTCAAATGGCTTTTTTACACAATGGCTTTTTTACCCCACTCTACCCTAATAAATAAAAAATAAATATAAATAATTAATAAATAAAATATAATAATTATTAATAATAACAATTACTATTATTGTTATAATTATTATTATAATTATTGCATTATATTAGTATATTATTGTATATAAATACATTTTTTTAAATAAAAAATATGAGTTTTACTGCGTAAAAATTGAAAGAAAGTGGAACGCCATTTATTGAAAAGTGGTAAAAATTGAGTATTTCAACGTTCGAAGAAACATTGAAAATCTCAAAAACTGAAATTTTTATTGTGATAATATTGTTCCCTGATGTTTAAACTATAGACTCTATAAAAATAAAGTTTTATTAGGAACGCCATTTCGGTGTTTTTGCCAGTCTGGGCCTCGGCGCGTGGAACGCCATTTGGAACGCCCTGCCAGTGATGGACAGTCTTAGGTGAGAAATAATATTCAAATTTGTATTTAGTTTTGAATTTATAAAGGATATTCAGGTATGAGTGGTAATAAAATTGTAGAGACCTTTGTTTATTTCGCGATGGGATAAACAAAGGCTCAAAGTCAATAAAAGGGCGATACGATTGTGATAAACTTTCTTTCTCTTTACGATGAGAAAGAAAGGGGTTCGAACCAAAATCGACAATACGTTTTACCTGAACCTTCCCCTTCCTCGAAGTGAAGAAAAGAGGGTTTAGGTAAAAACAAAATTAATTTTACTCAGTTATTCGTGTACTTTCAAACCGAGAAGTAATAATAAACTAAAATAATTATTTAAGTGTCCATTTTGTGTTAATTATTATTAATGTTCTTTGTTAATTAATTATTTTTTCTTGCGAATCTTTATTTTCTGTTTTTGTGTCTCGTGCGTATATTATTTCGTTCTCCATCATCATCAGTGGACAAGAGTTTCAAGGTATGTGTTACAAACGTCATTTCCTTCCATACCAACTTCCTACTCCTTAAATTAAAAAATTAAACAATTTCGGACGATCAATTAAAAAAAATTGTATAAAAGACGCGAAACAATTCAAGGACAAATTGATAATTTTAGAGATTTCCTTGAAACACAGAACGTCGGGCAGATAAATTTAACCCAACTTTCATTACGATTAGAAAAAATAAAAAGATTGTTTACTTCCTTTGATGATATTCAAGATGAAATCGAATTATTAAATACCGAAATCGATCAAACGGTATTAGCCGCCGAAAGATACACAATTCAAAATGTCTTTTTTAATACGGTTTCTCAGGGGGAACATCTTCTCGCGAACGGTCACCGATCGATACAATTAGGTGATAGTTCAGACGGTGGTTCAATCCATCAAACTTCAGAATGCGTACACACAAAGCGAAAACTCAAATTACCTCAAGCAAACATTCCCACATTTGATGGAAAAATCGAAGATTGGCTTTACTTTAAAAATTCATTTTCCTCGTTAATTCACGAACAAACGGATTTAACAAATATTGAAAAACTTCAATATCTAAAATCGGCATTAAAAGGGGAAGCGGCGCGAAAAATATCAATCTTTCCAATCTCAGAGAATAATTATTTACAAGCTTGGGAATTATTAGAAAAAACTTATGGGGACAAACGACTAATTATTTCTAGGCATTTAAGTTTGATATTACGGTTATTAGTACAAGAGAAACAAACGTCAGAAGGGTTAATAAAATTAGCAGATAAAACCCAACAACATCGTTTATCATTAATGTCACTCGGTGTAAACATCTCCGAGGAAATTCTCGTTCAAAATATAGAAGAGAAATTACACAAAAGCACCTTAGATAAATGGGACGAAACACTAAAAAGAAATGAATTCCCAAAACTTGATGACCTGTTCGAATTTTTATACCGAACAGCAACTCGTTTAACTCAACGAGAAGTAAAAAATCCTCCTAATCCAAAGATAACGAATAATACCCCCGAAAACAAGAAGAAAACCTTTAAAGGCGCGAACCCCTCATTAGCGACTTCGATTCTTAAACCTTGTCCTGGCTGTCGATCAAAAACCCATCACCTCTTTCGTTGTAAAAAATTTCGTGCTATTTCTGTGCCGGAAAGAATCCAAATAATAACAGACGCGTCTTACTGTATGAATTGTATGCGAGATAATCATAGAGACAATGAATGCAAATTTGGCAATTGCATGGTGTGTGGTGAAAAACACAATACCCTACTGCATCAGGAAATCAAATCACCAAAAAAATAGCAATTAAAGTCGCGATCCCATAACCAACAGGATAAATTTCCACCTAATACCCCATCAACTAGTCAATTCATAACTAGTGCTATGGTCCTAGCAGTAAATAAATACGAACAAACTGTGGAATGCAGAGCAATATTAGACACATGCTCATCAGCAAATTTCATAACGGAAAATCTAGCCTTAAAACTAAAATTACCAATGAAACGCTGTTATATCCCTATAGGAGCTGTAAATGACCTTACCACGGTCGCAAAGGCCTTTGTCTCCCTTACAATTCGTTCCTTGTATAACGATTATCAAAAAACATTTAGCTTTCTAATAATTCCTCAAATAGCAAATCTAATTCCCAATGAAAAAGTTTCCAGTGATCTAATTCCAATTCCACCTAACATCCAGCTTGCTGATCCTTTATTCCATATACCTCGTCCAGTTGATTTATTGTTAGGTTCGGGTCCATCATTATCTTTATTTTGTATTGGTCAAATTGATTTATCACCTCAATCAGGGAATCAATTACTTCTGCAAAAGACTCGTCTTGGTTGGGTAGTAGGCGGTAGTGTTTCAAATTCATCTACGTGTCCGGGAGAAATTAAATGTCACCTTTTAGATTTACAGACATGTATAACAAAATTTTGGGCATTAGAGGAAGAAAGAAACATAGTTCACCTTTCCGACGAACAAAAAAAATGCGAAAATCATTTTCGAGAACACGTTAAACGAGATGCTAGTGGTAAATTCACCGTAGCCTTACCGTTCCGTGATAATTTTAAACAGTTAGGAAACTCACGAAATATTGCCCTAAAACGTCTATATAGTTTAGAAAGAAAGCTCAATAAATCGCCAGAATTAAAAGATCAGTATAACGCAAATTTGCAAGAATACATTGATTTAGATCACATGTCGAAAGTAGAAAATGAAGATGAAAATGGATTTCATTTACCGCATTTTGTCGTTATAAAAGAAGGGATAGCGACTACCAAGGTTAGAGTAGTTTTCGATGGATCGATTAAATTAGAATCCGGACTTTCACTAAATGATGTTTTAATGGTTGGTCCAACGATTCAAAACGACGTTTTCGCTCACATGATTCGGTTTAGAGCATACAAATTCGTTTTAACTGGAGATTTAGAAAAAATGTATCGCCAATTTAGAATTCGGAAAGAAGATAGGAAGTTTCAAAGAATATTTTGGAGACGTGATGGTAAAAACATTGAAATCTTTGAATTAAATACCGTCACATTCGGAATAAGTTCTTCTTCCTTTCTCGCCACACGTGCATTACAACAATTGGCCGACGATGAAATTGACCGTTATCCCGAAGCCGCTAAAACGTTAAAGGAAGAGGTTTATGTTGACGATTTTATCACTGGGGCCGATACAATAGAAAAGGGAATTGAAAAGCGAGAAGAAATAATAAATCTTTTAAAATTAGGCGGGCTAAATATTAGACAATGGGCTTCCAACGATCCACAGTTGCTAGAAGGGATACCAAACAATAAAATTAATTTAAATCTTCAATTTAACGAAAACAAAACAGTAAAAACGCTTGGTGTTTCATGGAACTCGTGTAATGACAATATTATTTATTCAGTCGAACCACCTAATACTCTTTCTAAAATCAGTAAGCGAATTATTCTTTCCGACATTTCAAAGCTATTCGATCCATTAGGTTTACTAGGCCCGATAATTCTATTTGCAAAAATTCTAATGCAACAAATTTGGCAATGAAAATTGAACTGGGACGAATCGGTACCGGATACTATTCACACAACATGGATAGATTTTTGCGAACAATTGAAGCTCATAAATGATTTGACCTTTAGACGACGCGTTCTCATTGAAAATCCAGTCAATGTCCAAATTCATGGATTCTGTGACGCAAGTCAAAAAGGCTACGGGGCATGCATTTACGTACGATCTATAGACAGTAGAGAAAAAATTGAGTGTCACCTACTTTGCGCAAAATCTCGGGTTGCACCGTTAAAAACGATTACACTTCCTCGTCTGGAGCTTTGTTCAGCAGTACTCCTAAGCAATTTGTTCTCATCGGTATATAAATCCCTAAATATGCCTGTCCACGAGATTACATTTTGGACTGACTCCTCTATCGCGCTTTCGTGGATTAATACATCCCCGCATCAGCTCAAAACCTTTGTCGCCAATCGAGTTTCCGATATTCAAAAGAAAACGAACGGTCACAATTGGAAACACGTCAAATCATCAGACAATCCAGCTGATAGTTTGTCACGTGGTCAAAAACCCGCAGAATTTATAATGAATAAAATTTGTAAAGAAGGTCCTCACTGGCTAAAACAAACGGAAAACACTTGGCCAGTATCCGCGTTTGAAATAATAAAAGATTCATCTGCAATAAAAAAGACCGTTCTTTCGTCAATCGCGTTAGACACTGAAATTTTAAAAAAATTCTCATCTTACTCGAATATGAAAAGAATTATTGCGTATTGTTTGCGGTTTAAAGTCACTAATCATTACAAAGGTCCATTGCTCGTCACTGAATTAAAAAACGCCGAAAAAACTATATTAAAATTAATGCAAAGAGAAGCGTTTAACGATGAGATCAACAGTCTCAAACAACAAAAAGAAATCAACAAAAAGAGTAAAATTCTAGCTTTAAACCCTTTTCTCGATCAAGAAGGAATATTACGTGTAGGAGGGCGTCTGAAAAATGCCATAATACCGTTTTCCGAGCAACATCCTATTTTGCTCCCAAAATCGCATCATATTACTAATATAATCATTTGCGAAGAACACCTTCGTAGTTTGCATGCAGGCATATTAACAACCTTGTATGCCTTGCGTCAACGGTTTTGGATTCTTGATGGTCGCAATCAAGTGCGGAAAATTGTACGACAATGCATACAATGCTTTAGACTCAATCCTACCAACACAGAATACATTATGGGTGATCTTCCCAAAATCAGAATCAATCAATCCCGTCCTTTCTCTCATGTAGGAATAGATTATTGTGGTCCCTTCTACATAAAAGAAAAAAAATATCGTAATCGAACGCAAATTAAAATATACGCAGCAGTTTTTATATGTCTTGTGGTAAAAGCTGTGCATTTAGAGGTTGTCAGTGACATGAGCACTGAAACCTTCCTGGGTGCATTAAGAAGATTCATAGGGCGTCGCGGAAAACCTATTATTATTAGTTCAGACAATGGGTCGAATTTTATAGGGGCTAACAATGAGTTAAAAGATCTCGGTAATCTTCTTCATTCTAAGGAATTCAATGAAAAAACAACCTTGTTTCTCACTAATCAAGGAATCAAATGGAAATTTATACCCCCATTATCTCCTCACTTCGGGGGAATTTGGGAATCAATGGTTAAAAGTTTTAAACATCATTTAAAACGGGTCGTAAAAAATGTTTTGTTCACATTTGAAGAAATAAATACGTTCATTATCGAAATTGAAGCGGTATTGAATTCTCGCCCGCTTACTCCGATCTCACACGATCCCAATGACCTTATCGTCCTTACCCCTGGTCACTTCCTAATTGGCGATTCGCTAACAAGCTTACCCGAATTAGATTTTACACTTACACCAACACCACGATTAACGAGATGGCAACACCTTCAAAAGATGCGTCAAGACTTTTGGAGTAGATGGCACAAAGAGTATTTAAACGGACTCAACATACGTCACAAATGGAAAGGTGGCAACCATCACATTTAAGAGGGTGCTATTGTCATATTGAAAGAAGACAATACTCCTCCGATGCATTGGGTTCTGGGTAGAGTCATTAAAACGTTTCCAGGATCTGATCGCGTCGTTCGAACGGTAACGGTAAAAACGTTTAAAGGGGAATTTAAACGTAACGTTCGAAAACTCGCCCAGTTGCCTATCGATGACAACGAGGATGTCGATTAAAAACATCGATATTTCGAAGACGATCTTTTACGATAACGAGTTATATGTTAGTTTCCATTGTAAATTAAAATTAAGTTTTAATATAATTCGAGTTTGCTACGTTACACTTAATATTAAATGTGATTTAATTATTACAAATCTATTAATTACTCTACGAAAGTATCTATCATTGTTAAACTATGTTAAGTAACAACGATTTTCATGTTCTACGATGATCTTGTTGATCGATAGAACTCTCAACGGCGGGGGAGGATGGACAGTCTTAGGTGAGAAATAATATTAAAATTTGTATTTAGTTTTGAATTTATAAAGGATATTCAGGTATGAGTGACGTAATAAAATTGTAGAGACCTTTGTTTATTTCGCGATGGGATAAACAAAGGCTCAAAGTCAATAAAAGGGCGATACGATTGTGATAAACTTTCTTTCTCTTTACGATGAGAAAGAAAGGGGTTCGAACCAAAATCGACAATACGTTTTACCTGAACCTTCCCCTTCCTCGAAGTGAAGAAAAGAGGGTTTAGGTAAGAACAAAATTAATTTTACTCAGTTATTCGTGTACTTTCAAACCGAGAAGTAATAATAAACTAAAATAATTATTTAGGTGTCCATTTTGTGTTAATTATTATTAATGTTCTTTGTTAATTAATTATTTTTTCTTGCGAATCTTTATTTTCTGTTTTTGTGTCTCGTGCGTATATTATTTCGTTCTCCATCATCATCAGTGGACAAGAGTTTCGCCAAAAAAAGGATGGAGAAATGAAACAGTGAAGTGGTTAAAATGTAGTTCCATTGAAGTTAACAAATATTGGATTTTTCAATAGAGTGCCGACTTTCAGTTAGTCGAGCTCCTCCGAGCCGCATAATATTTGGGAAAACAAGTTATAGAACGATTACTTAGCATGTCTACTTTGACGCTAATATGTGCCATTTTGCGCCTTTTCATATTTTTTCAACATAACAGAAAGAGACAAAAGCATAAAAGTAGACCCCTTATCTTACCTTGTTTAATGGCGCATGTGCAAGAATAAAAGTTTTTGGTTAGGTTTTTGTCTAAAAAGATCGCATGAAAAATCGTTTTAAATATAGGTATAGTAATTGGAATTTTTAATTTTTAGTTGCTTATTTCGATGAGTTTAAATTAAAAGCAGGTAAACTTAACATAAAATACCATTTTTCCTGCTAAAAATGTTTTTAAATTATTTATTTGTCACGTAAATAAAAGAAAAATATAATTGTCAGCAAGCTGTTTCACTATCACGCATGCGTTATTAGAGAAAGAAAGAAAAGTGGTCTACTTTTCGTATGGCTGTCTCCGTCTATGCGCCTAAGAAACATTTTGGTCGCTTGCGCACTCTATTCTAATAACTCTATGGTTTTTTGGGTCGCTGATTACGAATCTGATGTCAGATTTCAAAAAATCAAAATGGCGGTCATAAAAAATTTTAAATTAATCAATTCGAATGAAACATATAGGTATGTAGAGGTTTTTGGGGTTGCTGATTACGAATCTGTTGTCAGATTTTAAAAATGAAAAAATGAGCACTGTGTTTCTGAAATCAGATTTAGATATAAAAAGGAGTGTTTATCTGATCCATGGAAATAAAAGCAGATTCTCCAATAGGACTACATGCGCACCTGATATACCCACGCGATAAACTATATACCTGTAAGTGAACATCAGGTATCGAAAAAAAAACCAAAAAAATTTTAAAAATCTAAAAAAAATACAAAATAGGATCTTTACCTGTAACCTCCTCGTGGTAGATCCTGGAAACTACAGTACTTTCTATTTTTGTAGGATTGTAACAGGAAAAAATTTTTTATTTTCTGAATTGTATAGACAGTAGTTTTGTAATCACCAAACTTAAAAACTCCCAAGCAAAAAATTGTAGGCAAATCTCACCCAATCTAAAATCCACTTGAATTCTTACATCAGATTCGTAATCAGCGACCTAAAAAAACCCTAGATACTTATGCTTCATTAAAATTGATTTATATAAAAAAATTTATGTCCGCCATATTGGATCCGCCATTTTGAATTTTTGAAATCTGACTTCAGATTCGTAATCAGCGACCCCAAAAACTGTAGGTAGCATACTTGTTATTCGTAAATATCTTGTTCTTTTTTAAATAATGATTTTTGGCAAAAAATCGACGATCCTGGCCCACTGTGCACTGTGAGATATACGGTGAGGGAATTTTTATCAGTCTTTCACCTTTGATTTACCAGAGGTGAAAAATTAAATTAATATGTTTTATTAATTAGAAAAAATATTTTTTAAAAATATATATTTTTGAAAAATAAATTTTAATTAATAATTTAAAAAATTAATTTTCAAACCCTTGGTTTTTTGTTGGCTGCCAATAAAAAATCAAGCTTTTGAAAATCGATTTTGTTTCCTTGGCAATTCCTTGGCAACTAATATTGGCCCGATGCTTGGCTACCGATCATTGGCAGTAGCGTGATCATCCCAAGCTTAAACCAATGGTGGTCCAATGATGGTTGCCAATTGTTTTGCCAAGAAAAAACCATTGGGCACCATGCATGGCCCACTATTGAACCAATCGTTACCATTGGCAACTTCCCGTTGGGTATAGTATCACAGGTGACTTACAATTCTTGACACCCTGCAATATCATTTTAATCATAAAAAATATCTATTTTCAATAATTCTGAAGTTCTTGCAATTAAAGAATATTGGATTATTTGGATAAATAAATAAAGCTGAATTTTATTATTTTGACGTCAAAATCTTAATCAGAGATCCCAAAAATACTACTGAATTCAGCTTGATATAATAATTGGTATCAATTATAATTTTTTCGATTTTTTAATATTGAAAACATTTTTATACTTACATCTCAGTTATAGGATAGTATTTTTTGCAAAATTATGCTAAAATGTGAATAAATAACATGTAATATTCAATTATAGAAAGTCTAAAAGCTATCAATTAAAAAATGTAGAATTTTCGATTTTTTGAAAAATATTTTTATATTTACATCTTAGTTATACGATAGTATTTTTTGTAAAATTATGCTTAAATTTGACTAAATAACATGTAATACTCAACTACAAAAATTTTAGAAGTAATCCATTAAAAATTTGTAAATTTTCAATTTTTCGAAAAAATTGAATATCTCCTGTTCTAATTAATATTTTTTAAATCTGTAAATTTATAAACCTTCCTTGGGTTAATACCTAATACCTTACCAAGTTGGACATAAATCGATTTACGCGTTTTTGTGTGATTGGGGTACAAAGGAAATTATTATTAATTTTTAATTGGAAACAGTAGATATATTAAATGCTGAAACAGAGAAACATAGACAATTAATAAGCTCGGCGACCTAGCGCCACCAAAAAATATTATTTTCTAAATTTTGAGGGTGCACAGTCCCCTACATAAAATCTTTTTGTGTAAATATCTGAAAAGTCCGCGAACCTGAGTGAAAAATATTTTTCAAAATTATGTTTCCATTCCTTAATTACTTGTTATTAGTTAAAAATTTTTGCATTAAAAAAAACTAAAAAAAATTATTTAGAATCTATGTTTTAAAACTTTATACGGCCCTGAATGTTATTGTAACCTTGCTTCAAGGGTACTCTTGCTGTAATAGACCACAGCACATTCAAGTCCATTACAGTGAGAATTCATTGTAAGTAAAAAGCACTATAAAAGTAAAGATAGTATTAAAATAGAATATTAAGCAACAAGGGTATAAAGGCAGCCATTTGTTTACGGTGATTTTTGTAACACGAGTGGAGGTCTAGGGCGCCCCGAGACCTGCACTCGTGTCACAAAAATCATTTTTAACAAATGGCTGCCTTTATTCCCGTGTTACTTACGATATTTTTTATTCCTAATGCACAAAAGTGTCGATTTCAGATAGCGGTTATGTTTGCACATGGGAGAAAATGGACGCCATTTTCATATGGTTGAACAAATGAGTGACTTTACTCCCTGTCGTCAGCTATCTAAAAAGCGCCATTTTTGTGCATGTGGGATAAAAAAATATTTTCATACAGATTTATTAATGAAAATTGAAGAACATCACAAAAAACTTACTTTTTGAGATGAACTTTCTAATAGAATAAATCAATACACATTTAAAATAGGTTTTATAGAATAAAAAAAACATTAAATTAAATTTTTAGGGAAAATACACGCGAGATTAGGCAGTTTTTCATATTTTTGTTTAATACTTTATTGCCTTACATATGTCATTTTCGTATAAGGATAGGTCACGAAAGAGGGTGGGCTTCACGTTGATTAGATACTAAATCTACCGCGACGTTTGTACATCAGGGTGGTCCAAATGTGGTGGAGAGAAACAGCGCAGATGCGGAATTTATGACAAGAAACAAAAGAAGAACAAGAAAAATGCAGATTTTAATTCTTTCGCATAAATTCGAGGAAAGTGTAATAAATTTCTCTCCAATAAGTGGAGCCGAAGGAGTATGACAAAATTTTTGTTTATATGTATATAGTTAGACACTCTAATGGGATTAAATGATAATTTTACTTTCTTGATCCATCATTTCAGGTCATTATCCACTTGTTAGAAAGTGTCATTTTTCCTTGTAGCAAGGAAGTTCTCTCGTTCTAGTAGCTTGACGTACAAGCAACCTTAGCTAGTTGCTGGACAAGCAGCTACTAGGGATCCAACGAATTTAGCTAATTCAAATCTAAAGAATTTCCTATATTTTTTGACATTCGTATGGTCTTTTAAGTCTATTGGGATTAAGTAACAGTCAGGTGTCATTAATCTTATGGCAGTTTGAATGTTTTACATTTTTC